TGATTATTGAATAAACAATCTCTTCTCTACCTCTTCTTCTTCCTTGTGGATCATTCATACGAGCCTAGAGGAAAACAAATTTGCACCGTAGATGATGATAATGGGCTGATAAGGGACAAAGAGCCACCAGACAAGGGCTTTTACTCTGACCAAGAAAGCTCAGAGAACTGGGTTGATTTAAGTGAGGCTGCCTTTGGTCCAATGGTACTCCTTGCCTTGTGAAAGCTTTGCCTTCTTGAGGTCAAGGGTTCAAGTCCCCCTCCCCCTTACCTCCCCAAAAAAAAAAAAAGTGAGACTGCTGCTGATGATGAAATTCAGGGAATGATCCTGCTTAATCAAGTTTTAGAGAACATTTCTAACTCCAGTACTGGGGGTAGTCCCAGAGGTAATGCTGAAACCACTTCTTTATGATGAATTTTATTATGTGGAATGTAAGGGGAGCTGGGAAAGAAAGCTTAAGAAGCAGATTAAAGAAATTGATTGTGATGAACAAGGTTAGTCTACTGGCCGTTATTGAACCAAAGATGTCTACAACGAAATTAAGAAATTTTGGTCTTGCTGTGGGGTTAAATTCTTATATGGCAAACACAATGGCAGAGAAAAATATGTGGTTACTATGAAATGACAACTTGGAAGTAAAGAAAATGCTGGACTTTGAACAAGCAATGACTGTGTCTATCTCCTACCAGGGTGGTGATCCTGTTTTGATAACCGTGGTGTACAGATGTTGTGAGTATTTGTTAAGAAGACCTCTGTGGGAGCACCTAAAATTTATCTCTGCATCTTTTGATATGCCCTGGCTGGTTATGGGGGACTTTAATATTGTGATGAGATCAAATGAAAGAATGGGGGGGGCTTCTCCTTCAGTGTTGGCAATGGATGAATTTGGGGAATGTATTCAATCGGAGGGTCTTATTGACTGTGGTTATGGAGGGAATAATTTCACTTGGTGTAATGGTCATCATGGAGGGACTAGAATGTGGCAAAGGATCGACAGAATGTTTATCAACACGGAATGGAATGCCAAGTTTTCAGATTTCTCAGGTCATGCATTTGGCAAGAGGATGCTCTGACCATTGCCCCATGTTGATCAAGATTGTGGAGAATGATGGCCAACAAAGAATTTCTTATTTCAATTTTCTGGATATGTGGGTTGAGGATTAGTAGCATGCAATTGGAGTGGAAGTTACGCAGGGAACCCAATAGAGAATCTCTTTCTCAAACTGAAAATGCTTAAGCTCAAAATCAAAAAGTGGAACAAGGAGGTTTTTGGAAATATCTTTGAAAAGATTAATAAACAAGAGTTGGCACTGAGGGAGGCCGAAAGAAGTGTGGATGATAACTACTCGGAGGCTACTGTTTCTAACTTGGAAGCTGCAAGAAAGAATTTAGAGGACACCCTTAGATTGGAGGAAATGTACTGGAGACAAAAAGCTAATGCTAAATGGGCACTACAAGGGGAGAGGAACACCAAATTTTTTCACGCTTTGGCCAAAGGTAAGGCTATGAGGAATAGATTGTTGAGAATTAAAGGTGAAGATGGGGAATGGTGTGAATCTGAAGAGGAAATTGCTCAAAATGCCGTTTCTTTTTTTGTAAAACTGTACAAAACAGAAGACCATAGACTTGATGATGAGTTATTTGGGGTCATTCCTAAGCTTGTTGGACTAGGGGATAATGAGAAATTGACTATGGCTGCTACCTCCCTAGAATTGAAACAGGTTGTCTTCTCTATGTTTGTGGAAAGTGCTCCTAGAGCTGATGGATTTTCTGGTAAATTCTTCCAAGTTGCTTGGGAAATCGTAAAAAATGACCTGTTGGAGGCAGTTAACTTTTTTTGGGTGGGGGAGAGGTCCCAAGGTCTGTAAATTCAACTCTCCTTGTTTTGATCCCTAAAGTGGCAAAGCCTAGCACTTTTACAGAGTTTAGGCCGATAAGCCTCTGCAATTTCCTGTATAGTCTTTACCATGGTTCTCTCCAATAGACTTGTTGTCCTTCTTCCTTCTCTGATCTCTAATGCACAGCATGGCTTTGTCAAAGGGAGAGGGATTGGAGATTGCATCTCATTAGCTCAGTTAATGGTTGGAGAACTTGATCGAAAGGTTGAGGCTGGCAATGTGATTCTAAAATTGGATATGATGAAGGCGTACGATCGCATTGAGTGGGACTTTCTACAAAAAACTTTAGAATGCTTTGGCTTTTCAAATCTACTTGTCTCTATCATTGGCAAATGCTTGAAGAATCAATTTTTCTCGGTTTGCTTGAATGGGAAAAGATTTGGGTATTTTCCTTCATCTAGAGGATTGAGACAAGGTGACCCGATCTCCCCAGCTCTCTTTATTCTAGCAGAGGAAGTGTTAAGCAGGGGCTTGACGAGGCTGTACGGTGATGGTAGGATCAAGGCCTTTCATGCAGAAAGGGGTGCTCTTCTTGTTTCTCATCTGTTTTTTGTAGATGATACTCTGCTGTTTCTTAAGGGAAATAAACTCTCCATGGAACGAATGATGAAGTTTTTGACTAGATATGAGAATAGCTCTGGGCAGAGAATAAACAAGCATAAAAGCTCTTTAATTTGCTCGTCCAAAATTCCTGGGGGCAGGAAAATGGCTTTATCCAGAATTGCTCAAATTCCGATTAAAAAGTGTCCCTTCATCTACCTGGGCTGTCCAATGATAAAAGGAAGATATAAATTGCAGGATTTTGAGGATGTGATACAAAAGTTCAAGGCAAAACTAGAAGGGTGGTATGCATGCCTGCTTTCTAATATGGGTAGAATTGTGCTCATTCAATCGGTTCTCAATGCGATTCCTATTCATTTACTCTCTTGTCTAAGCGTACCCAAAGGCATCCTTGCGAAGTTGAAGTCATTAATGGCCTCTTTCATGTGGTCTGGCAGAATGGGTGAGAGGAAAAGGCAATGGGTTTCATGGTCGGATATTTCAAGACCGAAGCAAGAGGGAGGTCTTGGAATTCGAAAATTTGAAGACATTCAAACGGCTTTTAGATGGAAGCAGGTGTGGGGAATTCTTAAGGGTGATTCTCTTTGGGCGAGCACGTTTAAAGCTAAATTCTTAAACGGTAAACATATGTTGAGGTGTCAGGGTACTGGTAAATCTCGTACATTCCGTATGCTGCAACCTTTCTTTAGATCGGTCATGGATAACTCCAAGGTTATGGTGGGGAATGGGAGGTTTGTGGATTTTTGGTGCTCGAACTGAACTGGATCTGGTCCTTTTCTGCTCAGGTATGGCGTCTCTCCCTTGTGCTTTCCAAGTCTGGATGCGTTATGGGCAGGTGGGGATTGGCAGTGGCAGCTTTTGGGGGTCCAGGTCTCTGATCAATTAAAGCATGAAATCCAAAATTCTGGGGTTAGAATATGCGAAAAGGAAGATCGTCTGATATGGACTTTAACCGAGTCTGGAGAGTTCAATGTAAAATTTGCTTGGCAAGCGGTGAGATCTTCGAATGACCCTGTGCCTATTGCCTCTGCGCTCTGGAACCAATCTGTCTTCCCAAGTGCAAAACTGCTGGGTTGGAAGATTCATCTGAAAGCCGTGTTAGTGGACTCAAATTTCCAATGAATTGGCGTTGAATTGGCTAGTAGATGTCCCCTGTGTCGTATGGATGTGGAATCTTCCCCTCACCTGTTCATACAGTGTGGTTTCGCTAAAGAGGTCCGGGGGAAGCTTGCTGCATTATGCGGCTTTCAAATTTTTTGCAGCTGATTCTCCTATGGTTCGTATGATGAGACTTATCAGAATATTTAAAAAACACACTGTTAGTCATAACCTGTTAAGAGGTGTTTCATTAGTGGTATTTTGGAGGTTATGGAGGGAGAGGTGCAGAAGGTTTTATGAAGGTATATCCCTCTCAGCCCATGCTGTGTTCCTTGATATTTGCTCTTCTTTGCGTCTCCAGGCTTATGGCGTTAGACCGCAGGCAATGGAAGGCATGACGGGTATGGATTTATTGAGGACTTTAAAGGTGGATATGAGGCATAAGCTAAGACCAAAGATCATTTGGGTCGACTGGTCCCCTCCTCCTTCTGGTTGTTTAAAGCTAAATGTGGATGGGGTATCGAAAGGTAATCCTGGAAGAGCCGGGGGTGGAGCTGTAGTAAGGAATGAATGGGGGCACTTAGTGTTGGCTGCTTCATTTTTCTATGGGGTTTGTTCTAATATGGAGGCTGAGCTGCGTGCTCTTAAGGATGGTTTATTATTGTATAAAAGTTATGGGCTATTAGACTATGCCCTCCAAATTGAAACTGACTCGGCGACTATGGTCCAAATGGTGTTAAAAGGACACAAGAGGGCATGGAAGTTCTGGAAGATTTGCGACGAGATCATGAGTTTATTGGAGGGCATGACTTTTAGTCTGGCTCACGTGTATAGGGAAGCGAATTACTTGGCTGATTGTTTTGCTAACCTCGCTGCTTTAGAACCTGCCTCTGAGGATTTCTCACAAGATTTGTTGATTCCTCTCCACGCCAAATTAATTCAAAAGCAGGATCGACAAGGAGTTAAAGCACCAAGGAAAAAGTTGGATAATCTTTGATTATTTGCTTATATCATGATTCCATTTCATGAGCTGGGGGGATTACCTCAGATGGAGCTCTTTGTTCTTGCTTGGTATTTGGCAGCTTTTTCTCATCATTGCAGCTGTGGGGAATATCCAGCTGTTTGTTTGCTGATTTGGGCAGGCGTGCACTGTTCACATAACTGTTCACGTGAACTCCTTGGTGGCTGCTGCTATTGGCTTCCTCTCAGCTGTTGGTTTTTCACGGTTCTGTTCAGCTTCATTTCTTCGCTGTCCAAGTCTACTGTTCACGTGAACAGTCTGATTCCTGCTCTGCTGAATTTTACTGATTTCCAGCTGGTTTTCTTCTGCTACTTCAGCTGGATTTCCAATTGGTTTCTTGCTCGTATGAGCCACTCAGCTGGCCTCTCTACTGTTTTTTGGGTTTGCAATGAAGGAGTGCTGGGGGCTGTGAGGTTCTGTTTTTTTCTGGCAGCTTGATATTTGGTCTATCTTGGCGGTCTTGGCAGCACTATTTTTCCTATGCAGCAGTGGGTTCTGGTCAGAAGGGGACTGTTCAAGCGACTGTTCACGTGAACTGTGCAGATGCTGCTGCAGCTGATTTTTCAGCTGTTTTATTTGATTGCTTCCTCGGTTCCTGCTGCTGCTCTTCTTTTTGAATTTTCTGGCTTTCAGCGGGCTCCCAGCTGGTTTCTCTTATGGTTTTACTGCTGCCTTTTCTGATGAATTTTAGCTGCCTTTTCTGCTCTTCCTTTTGCAGCTGCTTTTCATGCGTCTGTTCACCTGATTACAGCTGGGCTTCCAGCTGGTTTTCAAATTGATTTCCAGCTGGATTTTCAGCTGCTGTTCAGCTGGTATTAATGTCACTTTTGTGCCTTCTGCTGCTCTCTATGAAGGTGTCTGTTGCAGCTGTGGGTTTTGGTTTGTTGGGCACTGTTTACGTGCTTTGTTTGGTTGCTGCTGCTGATGGGGCATCTACGGTTATGGCTCACAGGCTGCTCAGCTGGACTTTCAGCTGGTTTGGGTGATGCTGTGGGTTTTCTCAGCTGAATTCTTCAGCTCTCTTCCTTATCTCACTCTGTTGCCTTTTATTGATCAAGGATGGACTGTTTTTGCGCCATCACATGGTCCAGTCTCTGCTCACCAGTTCTGTGCAGCTGGTTTCAGTTCTGGTTGAACGCTGCAGGGGTTCTGGTTCTAGCTTGATGCTGCACTGGTTATTTAATGGTGCTCTTCGGTTTCAGCTCCGCTGGACTTCCAGCTGGTTTTAATGTTTCTCCAGCTGGATTTTCAGCCGTTTTTCATGCTTTTGCGCCATTCAGCTGATCCCTTGCGCCTTTGGCTTATGTAGAAGTTTTTCTTTGCCTTTTATTTTGTAGGTTTAAAGCCAACTACGACTTTTCCTTTGCTATTAAAGCTTTGTCTCTTTGCTTCTTGTAATCTTGGTTTTTATCAATGGCATTTGTCTTTTTTACCAACAAAAAAAAAAAAAAGGGTTTAGGGTTTAGCCAGCAAGGCAGTTCATTTGTTTTTAGTGAGAGAAGCTCCTCCTTCTCTCTTGTTTTTTTCCTTTATTTTCTGCGAATTTTCTTTGCTTTTTCTAGCTGATCTGATCATCAATTTTGACTTCTGGTCAAACCCGAAGGCAAATTCCACCTAAGCCACCGGATTTTACAAAGATTTCTACTTTAGCCCCAAAGACCTCGTTGACTTCATTAACCCCTTTGAAATCGGTACAGTTTGCCGATTCTAATCAGGATGAGGCAATGCTTCTGGATCAAAGCAGGACAACGCCAAAACTCTTGGTATGCCCTCTGTAATTCCTTCGCTTCAACCTAGATCGAATATAACCAAAAATTTCGCATCCCCTTTTAAGAAACCCTCATCTTCCTCGTTGCCTTTGTGCTCTTTATTTCCTTCGGTCCCTTCGAGTTCCTCAGAACCTTCAGTCCCTCTAACGCTAATTGATGGGTCGTCTTTTCCGGTCCCCTCTGCATCTTTAATCCGGCCAGCAAAACGGGTGGTTTATTGTTCTTTTTTGCTTCTTTTGCTCCACCTCCTCGTCATTCTTCTCTTATTTTTTCTCTTATTATTTTTTGTTAATCTTTAGATTTTCATATTTATGTGCGTAACAAATCTATTTTGTGTTTTGATTTCAGTTGTTTGTGGAATGGATGTTTGCTTATGAAGGATTAAGAAGAGTTGTACGAGATAAATTTGCAAAGCGAGTTTATGATTGAAAAGATAAGTATATCTATTCGTCTTTGATCCATTGACTTTCTTTTATATGTAAAATGTGTTTTACACATGACTATTTTACTTGTTTTTGTGTGTCTTATTTGTTATGATAATTATTTCTATTATTTTTATCCCCCAAATCTCCTACAATTTTCTTTTCATTTTTCGTTGTTGTTTTCTTGTTTTTACACAACCTATTATTGCATCGAATTTCTTTGATTATATGTGTTTTGTTGGCTTTTCTATTTTAGAAATTATTTTTTATTTCTTTTTTTATTATCTTTCTATTAAAATTGTTAAATGTTGGAAACAAAGTTGAATTATTTGGAGAGATAGCAAAAAGATAAAGTATGAAAGAACATTAAGAGTTTGTAGCATGTAGAAGTAACTAATAGAATATAGAAGTCAAAGAGAGCTCAGAGCTTAAGGCTTGGGGCATAGGTTTTTTTGGGGTTTTGGGTTAAGGTTTAGGGGTTTAGGTGCTAGGGGTTAGGGGTTATGGGCCTAAGGGATAAGAGTTAAGGGTTAGAGGTTTAGGGGTTAGGGATTTGAGTTTATTCTTCTTTTGCTTCTTTTGCTCCACCTCCTCATCATTCTTCTCCTATTTTTTTTTCTTATTGGTTTTTGTTATTCTTTAGATTTTCATATTTATGTGCGTAACAAATCTATTTTGTATTTTGATTTTAGTTGTTTGTGGAATGAATGTTTGCTTATGAAGGATTAAGAAGAGTTGAACAAGATAAGTTTGCAAAGCGAGTTTATGAGTGAAAAGATAACTATATCTATCGTCCTAGATCTATTGGTTTTCTTTTATATGTAAAATATGTTTTACACTTGACTATTTGTACTTATTTTTGTGTTTCTTCTTTGTTATGATCATTCTTTGGTGGTCTTTTGGAAATTATGGAGGGCGCGATGTAAAAGAATCTATGATGATAATGCTCTAAATGCCCATGCCGTGTGTTTGGAAGTCTGTTCAGCTCTTAGGCTGCAAGCTCATGGTATTAAACCCAAAGCAACCGAAGGAATCATGGGCACGGAGTTTTTGAAGGCTTTAGAGGTTGAGGTGAGGTATGAGCTGAAACCGAAGATTGTTTGGGTCAACTGGTCTCCTCCTATTCCTGGTTACTTAAAACTAAATGTAGATGGGGCATCAAAGGGCAATCCAGGTAGAGCTGGGGGTGGCGCTGTGGTTAGGTATGATTATGAGATATATAAATTTTGTGACAAGTTGATATTTATTTGGACTCCTATTTTTAGAGGAAATTCCGTTAGAATTTTTTATAAAATTAGCAAAACCCATATTGAATTCAATTTCTCTTATTCAAGCAATGGAAGGAGAAATGTTCCAAATCAACTACTTTTTTTTATGTTAGATGGTATCTTCAGGCACCGGTTGTCTATAGTTTGGACATTGTTGGTATTGCATTAGGTTTTGTGTCATTTTGGGTTTAGTGTTTAGAGTTTAGGGTTTTAGGGTTTAGAATTTAGGGTTTAGGTTTAGTCAAGGGCAGTTATTGTTTTTCTAGTGAGAGAAGCTCTCACCACTCTCTAGGTTTTCTTTGCTTTTTCCTGCATTCTTGATCTTTATGCTTTGTTCTGCGCATTTATTATGACTGCTGATCAAAATCAGGGTCAAATCCCTCCTAAGCCACCGGATGTTTCCCTTATTTCCATCACAACCCCCAAGATTTCTTTAAATCCTTTAACCCAGTCAACATCGGCACACTTTACCGATATTGTTCAGAATGGGGCAAAAGCTTCAACAACGTTGCAAGATGTCACAAAGAACTCTTGTATGCCTCCTACAAACCCGAATCTACAATCTACAACAGATATTGCAAAAATCCTTCCACAATCGGTGCAATTGTCCGAGTTAGGCAGATGGTGCAAATGCTTCAGGATCGCAACAGGTAATCGCAAACTCCTGTGGTATCCTCCCCAAAAATCCCAATCTCCAACCCGGATCTGATATTACAAAAAATTTTGCTCCCCTTTTCAAAAAAAACCCCATCAACTTCGCCTCCTTTGGTGTTCATTTTTCCTTCGGCTCCTTCGAGCTCTTCGGATACACAGTCTCCACAGCCGATTGAAGGGGTCTCCTCTCCAATGCCTTCAGCATCCTATTTTAGGCCAGCCAAACGGGTGGTTTTCAATAACGGGGAACCTGGGATGTATTGGTCTTCTGAGGAAACTCAAACTCTCTCAAAGAAGTTCCACCAGACCTTAATAGGAAAATGCGCATATGGTTAACCATCAGTTGGTGTTATCAAGGAATTCATCACTACCAGATGGCTCTTGAAAGGCAACTTCACTGTCGGGGTCTTGGATCCAAGACACGCATTGATTACAATGAGGATTACGTCAAGACATGGTTAAAGGATGCTGTGACACCCCAAAATCTGGGGGTCCGTTGATTCCCCTTCAACCCGTGGATACCGAGTAATTTGATATCACGCCATTATGCGCCATTTACTGGAAACCATAATTTTTTATGAAATTCGGGCAGAGTCTCCTTTGTACGGGGAGCTCTGCCAAAAACTCAACCTGTGCAATCATATAATAACAAGACCCATCCGAGGTCCAATATTCAACAATGACCACACCGGGTCCAATTATCCATATTTATATCAACACATGCAAAGTTAGTTTAACAATAGTCTATATAAGTTCTATTACAATTATTTGTAAAATATTACATGTCCAAAACATTATTTCCACAAATGTTTTACATTATCACAAAATAAAGCCACATTCGGCTTTCTTCAAACATGAGGGTCCAAATTGGAGCCATCTACCGATGTATCTCTCCCACCTGAAATGTTTTGCAGTATAAGGTGAGCTAACGCCCAGTAGAATAATCCCTCTAGAGGCTACTCTCCACCTTAGATGCATATGTGGTGTATATAAGCAACAAACAACATTTAATAATCATTCCATACAAGAATATGCATTAAATGTGGAATGTAATCATGTCATGCCATGAAATGAGATGATGCTCACTCATACACTTAAACCCAAGTCATCATCGACTCCCACGACACAATGCAATGCCAAGGTATACTGAATCCGTCAATTGACGAAAAAATTCACCAAATGATCGTTTGAAATAAAAGTTGTTTTATTATAAAACCAAATCATTAATGGGTGTTACTCATTATATGAGTATTTTATAAATCAAAATCTTGTGTCTTGTTGGGCAACGAATTTTGGATTTTATACCGCCGGTTCCGTACACCATACTACACTTTTTTGGAATTTCACTACAGGGGAATGTATAACCAAGTCGCCGAGTCTTGCACCCGAGGGGGGAATCTACCCCTTCTTGCTATACCCGACACAAGTTTTTCTTTCATGCAACCATGTGACTCATTCAGATTTTCAACCTAACTTTTTCGAGTCTACCCATTAATCACCAAGAATGGTGTTTAATTAACCATGCATACACACATCCACACTCATGACTCATGCTCATGAATGTGATGCCAATTCCTTGTTCATATTGCAATGCATGCCAAAGGAACAATTTTTACACATCAATGTCTACCATGGCGATTTATATCATATGCTAATAATCCCCATAATTTCATCACAATGTCAAAACATCAACTAGCATGTGTCAACATTTATATTCAACACAATTGACAAGCATGTTATCACATAATCTATGTCAAAAACACACTTAATTTAAAAGACAAAATATAGCACATATTTCAGCCCACAAGAAAATCAACCCATAGTGGCCCAAAATTTAGCCACTAAACCGCCCCAAAATAGGCCCCAAAATAGCCCCAAAGTAGGCCTTAAAACAGCCCCAAAAACAGTCTGTATACAGCCCCTAATTAGTGCACAAAACAGCCCCAATTTCAGCACCAAAACAGTCCGTAATTCAGCCCCTTAACAGTCCAAAATTCAGCCCCTTAACAGTCTATTTGGACAGCCCACATATAAACCATTTTCAGCCACTAAAAGCCCACTTAAGGTAAGAATAAAACCAAGGTAGGAGCGAACCCTACCTCTTGTAGCGTGTAAGAAGTGGTAGAACTTCTAAAAAACACCAAAACAAGCCCAAGAACCTTTGATTCCTCCAAAGTCTTTTCTTTGCACCTTCGGTGAAATCCACTTTTCTTGGTACGTACACGTAACCCTCGTCGAGGAGATGAACTTTGATTCTTGACTCGACGAATTCCGACCGACGAAACTCCGAGAATCTTGGATTGAAGCTTGAAGAACTTACTTGTTTTTCTCTCTTTTCATTCTCTTCTCTCTATGGCCGGCCAAGGGTCAAGAACATGAGATATTTTTTCCAAAATATTTAAGTCAAGTAGGTATTTATAGTCCTGAATGTGTGGTCCACATCGCACCGCATATTTCAGACTTCCGGGTCCGTTTTTCGTTCCGAAACGATTTGTTATACCTCAGATTTAGTTAAAATTAATTGTATTGGAACTTTAACTTGATTTTAAGAAAAAAATTAAAAAATTCATTTTTGGGGAACTTTAAAATGTCATTCGCCTCGTAGTTGCCTTGAACAACGTGCAAAAAATCGTCTATCTCGAAATTCGACGAAATTTGACAGGGTGATTAGATTTTGCGATACGAATCCAACGGCGAACTTCGTTTCCTCAACCGAGGTCTAGAACATGAGTATTTTAAATACGCATTAGGATGACAAATTACCATTTTACCCTTTCTAAGAAAAAGTTCAAATTTTCCCGAGTTTCACAGATGCAACACACATCGAGGGCTTCTTGTTCAGGTTCTTCAAGTGGTTTTCGGAGTTCCTGCCTGGGATTGAACCACCAGTGGTTCCTATTTGGATTTCTCTCCCAGGTTTGCCAATTCACCTCTTTGATAAGGAGAGCCTTCGGGACATTTTGAGTCCCATCGGGAGAATCCTTGTAATTGACTCACCCACCCTCCTATTATCTAGGCCAGGTGTGGCTAGCGTATGTGTCGAAGTTAATTTATTAGCTGATAACCCATCTCGTCTTTGGCTGGATTTTGGCGGAACAAGTGGGCGTTGGCAAAAGATTAATTATGAAAAATTGGTGAAGTATTGTGCTGGGTGTTTGAAAGAAGACCATGGGATGCTCGAGTGTCGTAAAGGCAAAAGGGAAGAGGAAAACAAAGTGTACAAACAGGCATACAACCCTAAGGAGGAAAGAAAGCAGAAAGCTGGCATCTCGAAAAAAGACGAGGACCTTAAGGGGAAAGATAAGGCATGGCAGAAAGTCACAAAAAAAGCGAATTCCAAAGTAACCGTGAAAGAGGGTCACCAAGCACCACAGTTCTCGAATCCTATAAATTTAGATGTAGGAGGAGAGGAGGATGCCCAGTGATTTTTGGTGCACGAACTGGGCAGGATCTGGCCCTTTATTGCTCAGGCACGATGTCTCCCCCTCGAGCTTTCTAAGTCTAGATGCGATATGGGCAAGAGGGGACTGGTAGTGGCAGTTATTGGGAGTCCAGATTTCTGAGCAATTAAAGCACGAAATCCATAAATCTGGGATTCGTTTATGTGGCAAAGAAGATCGATTGATATGGAAATTAACCGAGTCGGGAGAGTTCAATGTCAAATCAGCTTGGCAGGCGGTGAGAACTTCAAATAACCCTGTACCTATAACCTCTGCGATCTAGAACCAATCTGTCTTTCCAAGTGCAAAACTGCTGGGATGGAAGATACATATGAAAGCTATGGTGGTGGACTCAAATTTCCAACGTATTGGCGTTGAATTGGCCAGTAGATGCCCTCTATGCCATCAGGAAGTGGAAACTACGACTCACCTATTCACACAATGCAACTTTACTAAAGAGGTTTGGGGGAAGCTTGCTGCCTTTTGTGGATTTCAGATTTTCTCGGCTGAATCTCCCATGGTTCGTATGATGAGGTTGATTAGAATTTAAAAAAAAAACTCTGTTAGCAATAACCTATTAAGAGGTACTTCACTGGTGGTCTTTTAGAGACTATGGAGGGAGCGATGCAGAAAAGTCTATGAAGATATCTCACTTTCGGCCCATGCTGTTTTTCTTGATATTTGCTCCTCTTTGCGTCTTCGGGCTTATGGTACTCGTCCCGAGGCAAAGGAAGGCATGATGGGGATGGATCTTTTGAGGGCCTTAAAGGTGGAGATGAGGCAGGAACTGGAACCAAAAAATATTTGGATTAACTGGTCCCCTCCTCCCTCCGGTTTTTTAAAGCTAAATGTGGATGGGGCATCGAAAGGAAATCCTGGAAGAGCTGGGGCTGGAGCTGTGGTAAGGAATGAATGGGGGCACATTGTCTTGGCTGCTTCTTTTTTCTATGAGGTTTGTTCAAACATGGAGGTTGAGCTTTATGCACTCAAGGATGGTTTATTGTTGTTTAGAAGTTATGGGCTGTTAGACTGTGGCCTTCTGATTGAAACTAATTCAGCGGTGATGGTACAAATGGTGATGAAAGGGCACATGAGGGCCCGGAAGTTTTGGAAGATTTGTGATGAGATCATGGAGTTATTGAAGGGCATGAATTTTAGTTTGGCTCATGTATACAGGGAAGCAAATTGCTTAGCTGACTGTCTTGCAAACCTTGCTGTTTTGGAGGGTGCCTCTTCGGATTTCACACGTGATTTGAAGATTCCTTTCCGGGCAAAATTAATTCAGATCCAGGATCAACAAGGTGTTAAAACGTCAAGGAAAAAGTTTACTAATTTTTGATTCTTTGGTTTTTACTTATGAATCATCCAATCGGGCTGGGCCTTTTGTTTCTCATTGCTTGGCTTCTCGCAGCTGGTGTGTTTGCTTCCTTTACCCTGCTGGGAAGCTTTGGCAACATTTGTACATTAAATGCAGCTGGGGGGGACATTCCGGTGGCTTTTTTGCTGTTTTTGGTCATGGAGTACTATTCACGCGACTGTTCACGTGAACAGTCTGCTTCCTGCTGCTGGCGGTTTTTCTCAGCTGACCTCTACTGATATTGCAGTTGCTGTGGGTGATTTTCAACTGGTTTTGGTCATGACACACTGTTCACGCTACTGTTCACATGGACAGCCTGTTTGCGGCTACTGATGGGCTCTTTCAGCTGGTTTTTTCTGGATCTCAGCTGGATTTTGTGCTGATTTCAGCTGGGGATCGTGGCTCATTTTGTTGCTACAGCTGGTTTTATCAGACTTTATCTTTGGTAAACATTGAAGGCTTTCCACGGTTCTGCTCAGAGGGTTTTCAGCTGGATTTCCAGCTGGTCTCAACGGGTTTCCAGCTGGTTTTCCATGATTTCTTTGTGGTTCTCTGCTGGTTCTTATGGGCTCCACTTGCTGCTGTGATTGCTGTGCTGTTTTGATGGTGTCAATGGTTCATGTCCACAGCTTTCTTGTCGCTGCTGCTGGCCACCTCTGGTATCTTTTTCTTCAGCTGGTTTTGCTGATTTTCTCATGGTCTCTCAGCGGTTCTTTCATCTGCTTGACGCTGGCTATTGGTCTGCTGCTGTGGGTTTCTCTGTTGCTGCTTCCTTCGGCAGTCAGCTGGGGATTTGTTCTCAGCGGGCTCTCAGTTGCTGTGTTGGTTCTGGGCTTATGTTCATTCCTCATGGTTTTCATCATCTCGCAGTTGCTGTCTCTTGGGTTTCCAGCTTTCCTCCAGCTGAATTTTCTGGATCTTCAGCTGGACTCTCAGCTGGCTTTTGCTGGCCTTCATGTCCCATTTTATGTCCTTTTCTTTTTTGATGGTTTATGCCACATTGGCTTCCTTGTTTTTGTTAAAGCCCGGCTTCCTTGCTTCTTGTAATTTCTGCTCATTTCAATATATCCTCCTTTTTTTCAAAAAAAAAAAAAAATAGGGTTTAGGAAAAGCATGGTGAGAGTTGTGGTGAATGTTGGAATATTTGGGTCGCCGGAGTTGGACTCCAGAGAGAAAGGGAGGAGACAAATTGTTAGAGCAATTACTGAGATACCTCGGCGTAAGAGATTTTGGGGATGAGCTGGGCATGAGAGATTTTGGAGATTTTGGGGATGAGTAGGGGAAGATTTTGGGGGATGAGTTTGGAAGGCAGAGGATGAGATTGAGAAGGATTCTGAGAGAGATTTTAGGGGAAGATATGGGGGAATCAGAGGAGACTGGGGCGTCAGTCAAGCAAAAAGCCATTATAATTAAAACAGGAATTTTGTTGGGCGGGGAAACTAATTTCGGTAATCACAATATACCGTTAGATCAAAATTTTTGAAATGATCTGAACCGTCTTTTATGTTGAGATTACATTGTCCGTCGGATGTGCTTATGTTTTGTCTCAAAACGATCGAAACCACTCTGTCTCTTGGATTCAAACTCAACTCTACTTTATTATATAGATTATAGCATTGTATATTAAATTTTATCACAATTGACCTAGATAATCTTAAGGTTCCAATATGATTAATTTATTGATAATTATTTTTATTTTATTAAATGATTTATAAGTAAAATCTTAATCAAATTAATTTTTTAATTATTTATTCTTTATTTATAAATGTCAATTTTTATGAAACTTTTTGACTTATTATATTACTCTTCAAAAATATATGCATTATTATAAGTTTTAACAAAATATTAAAAAAAAACCTTCAAAAACTCCATTAATATAATATTACTCATCTCATTTATAAAGATAATATTATGACTACGTATGTATATTTTATTTTTCATCAAAAACATTTTATTTTTAAGAAAAAAATAATGTATATATAGTTTTATATAATTTTTTAGTTATAGTAAACTTTTTAAACTATGTTATATCAAATAATAACCGATCATTTTTCTTAAAGTTAGAATAACCAATCTTGAAAATATACAAAATTTTCAAAAATTCTATAATGGAGCATGAGCAATGAAAAAATAAATTTGGTAAAATTGAGATGATATTTAATTCAAACATATATACCAAATAATTATTTATTAATTTTTTTAAAAAAAATTAGTCACGTGCAACGCACGTGGCGCATTGCTAGTACAAATATATGTTTTATTTACACTTTGAACAAGGACTTCATTTTGACTAGAACAAAGGTTTGAACATAATCATAATATTCAATGATCGAGATTTAAAGCAATATTTAAGCATATATCAATATCTAGTGTGTGTCACACCCTGTTTCCCATAAAATGAGAAACATGAGTTTAAAACCATAATAATTATACTTAGGTTACTCCGGATTTTATTAAGAAAATATCTATATCTATACTACTATAAAATATCAACATATATGAAAAACATTTTTTAGACACTTTTGTCCTCCAAAATTTTGAAAATGCCAAGATCACCATTGAATTTAAATACCAAACATTTGTGACATTAATCATACACATCTCCATTTTTAAACTTTTGGTTTCCTAACCTCCTTTTCTCTCAACCACATCTCTATATTTACTTCCATCCTTCACATACCAATTGTTCGCTTCTACCCATAACAAATAAATGACTTTCTTGTATGTGACTTTCTTGTAGCTCTGAGGAGGAGATTTCTCATCAGGCTGTCACTTTCTTTACTAAATTGTACAAGTCTAAAAACCATACCCTTGATGAAGAGTTATTTGGGGTCATTCCTGAGCTTGTTGGACCAACTGACAACGAGAATTTGACTATGGCTGCCACCTTAATTGAAGTTAAATAGGTTGTGCTTTCTATCTCTGTGGAAAGCGCCCTTGGAACTGATGGTTTCTCTGGTAGATTCTTTCAAGTTGCATGGGATATTATTAAACATGACATGTTAGAAACGGTTAACTTTTTCTTAAGTGGGGGAGTGGTCCCAAGATCGGTCAACCCCACACTCCTCGTTTTGATTCCAAAAGTGTTGAAGCCCTGTTCTTTCTCAGAGTTCAGGCCCATAAGTCTATGCAATTTTTTATACAAAGTCTTCACTAAGATCCTATCCAATAGACTTGCTTCCCTTCTTCCATCTCTGATTTCAAATGCATAGCATGGTTTTGTCAAAGGGAGAGGGATTGGGAACTGTATTTCTTTAGCTCAGTTAATGGTGGTAGAGCTTGATAGGAAAGTTGAGGCTGGCAACGTGATTCTTAAACTGGATATGATAAAGGCGTACGATCGCATAGAGTGGGATTTTTTGAAAAGAACCTTGACTTGTTTTGGCTTTTCAAGCTTGTTCATTTCTATCATTGGCAACTGCTTAAAGAATCAATTTTTCTCGGTCTGCTTGAATGGGAAAAGATTCGGTTTCTTTCCTTCGTCTAGAGGACTGAGACAAGGTGACCCAATTTCTCCGGCTCTCTTTATTCTGGCAGAGGAGGTTTTAAGTAGAGGACTGTTGAAGCTGTATGGTGAAGGCAGAATCAAGGCTTTTCATGCAGGGAGGAATGCACTTCTTGTCTCTCATCTGCTTTTTGCAGATGATACTCTACTGTTTCTTAGGGGTAATAAACTTTCCATGGAATGATTGATGAGGTTTTTGGCAAGATACAAGGATAGCTCTGGACAGAGGATAAGTAAACATAAAAGCTCTTTCATATGTTCCTCCAATATTCCTCGGGGCAGGACAATGACTCTATCCAGAATTGCTCAAATTCCAATAAAACAATGTCCCTTCGTCTACCTGGGATGCCCCATGATAAGAGGAAGATATAAACTGCGGGATTTTGAGGATGTGGTCCTAAAATTCAAAGCCAAAATGGAAGGGTGGTACGCACGCTTACTTTCAAACATGGGCAGAATTGTGTTGATTAAATCAGTCCTTAATTCTGTTCCTATTCATTTGCTCGCTTGTCTAAGCGTGCCCAAAGGCATCCTGGCAAAGTTGAATTCTCTCATGGCCTCCTTTATGTGGCTAGGCAGGATGGGGGAGAGGAAAAGGCATTGGGTTTCATGGTCTGTAATTACAAGACCCAAGCAAGAGGGGGGGCCTAGGGATTCGTAAATTTGAAGATATCCAAACGGCATACCGTTGGAAGCAGGCATGGGGTATTCTTAAGGGCGACTCTCTGTGGGCAAACATGTTTAGAGAAAAATTCTTAAGAGGCAATCACTTGATGCGATGCACGGGTACTGGAAAAATGCGTATATTTTGAATGCTGCAACCTTTCTTTAGCTTGATTATGACCAACTCACAGGTCATGGTGGGGAATGGGAAGAATGTTGACTTTTGGTGTTCGAACTGGACTGGATCTGGCCCTCTTCTGCTCAGGTATGCCGTTTCTCCCTCGTGTTTTCCATGCCTGGATGAGTTATGGGCTGATGGGTGCTGGCAGTGGCAAAGTTTGGGGGTGCAGGTATCTGAACAGTTAAAGCATGAAGTACAGAATTCTATGATTTGTTTAAGCGAAAAAGAAGATCGACTGATATGGAAATTAACTGATTCGGGAGAGTCCAATGTCAAGTCTGCTTGGGAGGCAGTGAGAGCTTCGAGTGTCCCTGTGCCTGTGACCTCTGTGATCTGGAACCAATCGGTTTTCCCAAGTGCAAAACTGCTGGGCTGGAAGATATATCAGAAAGCAGTAGTAGAGGACTCAAACTTCCAACGGGTCGGTGTTGATTTGGCCAGCAGATGTTCTCTACGTTACAAGGCTGTGGAATCTACTTCTCACCTGTTCATACAATGCAACTTTGATAAAGAGGTTTGGGGGAAACTGGCTGCATTTCGTGGTTTTCAGGTTTTCTCCGCTGAATCCTTTGGTTTGTATGATGAGACTGATCAAAATTTTTAAAAAACACTCTGTAAGTCAGAACTTGTTAAGAGGTGTTCCACTGGTGGTAATTTGGAGATTATGGAGGGAGCGATGCAGAAGGGTCTATGAAGATAGCTCACTCTCGGCCTATGCTGTGTTTCTAGATATCTGCTCCACTCTGCGTCTTCAGGCTTATGGCGTTAGACCTAAAGATAAGGAAGGCATGATTGGTATGGAATTCTTGAGGGCATTAAAGGTAGAGCTGAGGCATGAGCTGAAACAAAAAATTATTTGCATAAACTGGTCCCTTCCTCCTTCGGGCATTTTAAAGCTAAATGTGGATGGGGCATCGAAAGAAAATCCTGGAAGAGCTGGGGGCGGAGCTGTGGTAAGGAATGACTTGGGGCACATAGTTCTGGCTGCTTCTTTTTTTTACGAGGTGTGTTCCAACACGGAAGCTGAGTTGCATGCTCTCAAGGATGGTTTATTGCTATTTAGAAGTTATGGACTTCTAAATTATAATCTTCAGATTGAAACTGATTCGGCCATGATGGTTCAAATGATAATGAAAGGGCACATGAGGGCCTGGAAGTTTTGGAGAATTTGTGATTTGCTGTTTTGGAGGGTACCTCTTCGGATTTCACACTTGATTTAAAGATTCCTCTCCGGGCTAAATTAATCCAGATGCAGGATCAACAAGGTGTTAAAACGCCAAGGAAAAAGTGCGCCATTTTTGTGATTTTTTACCTATATTATGGATCCATTTCACATGATGGGGCTTTTGCTAAGGCTTCCATGGTTTATGGTCATTGGACTGTTTAGCTGGTTTTGCTCTAGTCAGCTGATTTTCTTTCCAACTGGTTCTCTCTGTGATGTGGTGCTTTCAGTTTGGAGGACTCTGCTGGTTTCCCTTGTTCCTGCTGGTTTTTCAGGCAACATCTGTTTCTTTAATGCTGTTGTGGGGGTTCTCATGTTGCTTTTCTGCTGCTTGTTGTCTGGATGCACTGTTCATGTGAACTGCTTCGCGATTGCTGCAGATTGTCTCTTCCAGCTGATCTCAGTTGGTTTATTGACTGGAACACAGTTGGTTTTCAGCTGGGACTTCAGCTGCTCCTAGCTGAGATTTATTGTTACTTTTACGCCTTCTGCTGTATCATGTTGGCATTTATTGGCTTCCTCTCAGATGTTGGTATTTCACGGTTCTGTTCAGCAGCATTTCTTCTCTGTCCAAGTCCACTGCTCACGTGAGCAGTCCGGTTGCTGCACTGCTGAATCTTCTTGTTTTCCAGCTGGTTTTCCAATTGGTTTCTTGCTTGTATGAGCCACTCAGCTGGCCTCTCTACTGTTTTTTTGGTTTTGCAATGAAGGAGTGCTGGGGGCTGTGTGTGGGTTCTGATCAGAAGGGGACTGTTCACGTGAACAGTCCAGATGCTGCAGCTGATTTTTTTCAGCTATTTTTTTGTTTCTTTCCTCGGTTCCAGCGGCTGCTCTGAATTAACTGGCTTTCAGCGGGATCCCAGCTGCTTTCTCTTATGGTGTTACTGCTGCCTTTTCTGATGAATTTCAGCTGCCTCTGCTCTCACCCTTTGCAGCTGCTTTTCATGCGTCTGTTCACCTGATTACAGCTGGAATTTCAGCTGCTGTTCAACTGGATTAATGCCACTTTTGTGCCTTCTGCTGTTCAACAAAATTTCTATAATAGAAAAGAGAACAAAATACATATTATCAAAGAAATGCTAAGCAATTAAAGGTTAGGAAAATCATGAAAACAACAACGAAAAATGAAAAAAAACCTATCGGATAATGAGAATGTTGGAGGATGAAAATAATAGAAAGAATGCCTGTAATAAACAAAAAACACAAAACAAGTAGAAATAGTCAAGTGCAAAACATATTTTACATAGAAAAGAAAGTCAATGGATCTAGGACGAATTGATATATTTATCTTTTCAATCATAAGCTCCCTTTGCAAACTCCTAATGTTCTTCCATGATTTATCCTTTTGCTCCCCTCCAAATAATTTAACATTGTTTCCAACATATAACAACTTAATAGAAAGATAGTAGAAAAATAAAATAAAATAAAACATAATTTATTTAATAGAAAAACGAACAAAATACATATTATCAAAGAAATGCTAATCAATTAATGGTTAGCAAAAACATGAAAACAACAATAAAAAATGAAAAGAAATCAATCGGAAAATGAGAGGGTTGAGAGATGAAAATAATAGAAAGAATGATCATAACAAACAAGAAACACAAAAACAAGTAGAAATAGTCAAGTGTAAAGCATAATTTACATATAAAAGAAAACCAATGGATCTAGGACGAATAGATATACTTATCTTTTCAAGCATAAGCACGCCTTGCAAACTTATCTCCTTCAACTCTTCTTAATATTTCAAAAGCAAATATCCATTCTACAAACAATTGAAACTAAAACACAAAATAGATTGGTCACGCACATAAATATGAAAATCTCAAAAACAACAACAAAAAATAATAAGAGACAAAAATAGGAGAAGAATGATGAGCTAGTGGAGCAAAAAAACAATAAACCCAAATCCCTATCCCCTAAGCCTTTAAACCTTAACTCTTAGCCCTTATTCGAGTAACCCCTATCCCTAACCTCTAACACCTAAACCACTAAACCATAACCCAAAACACGAAAAGCTCTATTCCCCGAGCCCTATGGCCTAAACCTCTTTGAATTCTACGTTCTATTAATCTCTTTTACGTGCTACAAACTCCTAATATTCTTCCATACTTTGTCCTTTTGCTCTCCTCCAAATAATTCAACTTTCTTTCCAACATATAACAATTTAATAGAAAGGTAATAAAAAAAAGAAATAAAACATAATTCCTAGAATAGAAAAGCGAACAAAATACATATTATCAAAAAAGTGCTAAACAATTAAAGGTTTGAAAAAACATGAAAACAACAACGATAAATGAAAAGGAACCTACCGGATAATGAGAGTATTGGGGGATGAAAATAATAGAAAGAATGATCATAACAAACAATAAACACAAAAACAAGTAGAAATAGTCAAGTGTAAAACATATTTTACATATAAAATAAAGTCAACGCAACTAGTACGAATATATATACTTATCTTTTCAATCATAAGCTCGCCTTGCAAACTTTTCTCCTTCAACTCTTCTCAATCTTTCAAAAGCAAACATCCATTCCACAAACAACTGAAATTAAAACACAAAATAGATTTGTCACGCACATAAATATGAAAATCTAAATAACAACAACAAAATATAATAAGAGACAAAAATAAGAGAAAAAAGATGAGCTAGTGGAGCAAAAGAAGCAAAAGAACACTAAACCCAAATCCTTATCCCCTAAGCCTTTAAACCTTAACTCTTAGCCCTTATCCCCGTAACCCCTACCCCTAACCTCTAACACCTAAACCCCTAAACCTTAACCCAAAACACCTATAGCTCTAATCCCCGATCCCTATGGCCTAAACCTCTTTGAATTCTACGTTCTATTAATCTCTTTTACAGCTACAAACTCCTAATATTTTTCCATACTTTTGTCCTTTTGCACTCCTCCAAATAATTCAACTTTCTTTCCAACATATAACAATTTAATAGAAAGGTAATAAAAAAAAGAAATAAAACATAATTTCTAGAATAGAAAAGCGAACAAAATACATATTATCAAAAAAGTGCTAAACAATTAAAGGTTTGGAAAAACATAAAAACAACAACGATAAATCAAAATGAACCTATCGGATAATGAGAGTATTGGGGGATGAAAATAATAGAAAGAATGATCATAACAAACAATAAACACAAAAACAAGTAGAAATAGTCAAGTGTAAAACATATTTTACATATAAAATAAAGTCAACGCAACTAGGACGAATATATATACTAATCTTTTCAATCATAAGCTCGCCTTGCAAACTTTTCTCCATCAATTCTTCTTAATCTTTCAAAAGCAAACATCCATTCCACAAACAACTGAAATTAAAACACAAAATAGATTTGTCACGCACATAAATATGAAAATCTAAAGAACAACAACAAAACATAATAAGAGACAAAAATACGAGAAGAAAGATGAGCTAGTGGAGCAAAAGAAGCGAAAGAACAATAAACCCAAATCCTTATCCCCTAAGCCTTTAAACCATAACTCTAAGCCCATATCCCCGTAACCCCTACCCCTAACCTCTTTGAATTCTACGTTCTATTAGTCACTTTTACATGCTACAAACTCCTAACATTCTTCCATACTTTGTCCTTTTGCTCTCCTCCAAATATTTCAACATATAACAATTTAATAGAAAGGTAATAAAATAGAGAAATAAAACATAACTCCTAGAATAGAAAAGCGAACAAAATACATATTATCAAAAAAGTGCTAAACAATTAAAGATTTGAAAAAACATGAAAACAACAACGATAAATGAACAACAACAAAATATAATAAGAGACAAAAATAGGAGAAGAAAGAGGAGCTAGTTGAGCAAAAGAACACTAAACCCAAATCCTTATCTCCTAAGCCTTTAAACCTTAACTTTTAGCCCTTATCCCCGTAACCCCTACCTCTAACCTCTAACACCTAAACCCCTAAACATTCACCCAAAACACCTATAACTCTAATCCCCGAGCCCTATGGCCTAAACCTCTTTGAATTTTGCGTTCTATTAATCTCTTTTACATGCTACAAACTCCTAATATTATTCCATACTTTGTCCTTTTGCTCTCCTCCAAATAATTCAAATTTCTTTCCAATATATAACATTTAATAGAAAGGTAATAAAAAACAGAAATAAAACATAATTTCAAGAATAGAAAAACGAACAAAATACATATTATCAAAAAAGTGCTAAACAATTAAAGGTTTGGAAAAACATGAAAACAACAACGATAAATGAAAAGGAACCTATCGGATAATGAGAGTATTGGGGGATGAAAATAATAGAAAGAATGATCATAACAAACAATAAACACAAAAACAAGTAGAAATAGTCAAGTGTAAAACATATTTTACATATAAAAGAAAGTCAACGCAACTAGGACGAATATATATACTTATCTGTTCAATCATAAGCTCGCCTTGCAAACTTTTCTCCTTCAACTCTTCTCAATCTTTCAAAAGCAAACATCCATTCCACAAACAACTGAAATTAAAACACAATATAGGTTTGTCACGCACATAAATATGAAAATCTAAAGAACAACAACAAAACATAATAAGAGACAAAAATAAGAGAAGAATGATGAGGTAGTGGAGCAAAAGAAGCAAAAGAACACTAAACCCAAATCCATACCCCTAAGCCTTTAAACCTTAACTCTTAGCCCTTATCCCCGTAACCCCTACCCCTAACCTCTAACACCTAAACCCCTAAACCTTAACCCAAAACACCTATAACTCTAATCCCCGAGCCCTATGGCCTAAACCTCTTTGAATTCTACGTTCTATTAATCACTTTTACATGCTACAAACTCCTAATATTCTTTCATACTTTTGTCCTTTTGCTCTCCTCCAAATAATTCAACTTTATTTCAACATATAACAATTTAATAGAAAGGTAATAAAATAGAGAAATAAAACATAACTCCAAGAATAAAAAAGCGAACAAAATACGTATTATCAAAAAAGTGCTAAACAATTAAAGGTTTGGAAAAACATGAAAACAACAACGATAAATGAAAAGGAACTTATCGGATAATGAGAGTATTGGGGGATGAAAATAATAGAAAGAATGATCATAACAAACAATAAACACAAAAACAAGTAGAAATAGTCAAGTGTAAAACATATTTTACACATAAAAAAAAGTCAACGCAACTAGGACGAATATATATACTTATCTTTTCAATCATAAGCTCGCCTTGCAAACTTTTCTCCTTCAACTCTTCTCAATCTTTCAAAAGCAAACATCCATTCCACAAACAACTGAAATTAAAACACAATATAGGTTTGTCACGCACATAAATATGAAAATCTAAAGAACAACAACAAAACATAATAAGAGACAAAAATAAGAGAAGAATGATGAGGTAGTGGAGCAAAAGAAGCAAAAGAACACTAAACCCAAATCCATACCCCTAAGCCTTTAAACCTTAACTCTTAGCCCTTATCCCCGTAACCCCTACCCCTAACCTCTAACACCTAAACCCCTAAACCTTAACCCAAAACACCTATAACTCTAATCCCCGAGCCCTATGGCCTAAACCTCTTTGAATTCTACGTTCTATTAATCACTTTTACATGCTACAAACTCCTAATATTCTTTCATACTTTTGTCCTTTTGCTCTCCTCCAAATAATTCAACTTTATTTCAACATATAACAATTTAATAGAAAGGTAATAAAATAGAGAAATAAAACATAACTCCTAGAATAGAAAAGCGAACAAAATACGTATTATCAAAAAAGTGCTAAACAATTAAAGGTTTGGAAAAACATGAAAACAACAACGATAAATGAAAAGGAACCTATCGGATAATGAGAGTATTGGGGGAGGAAAATAGTAGAAAGAATGATCATAACAAACAATAAACACAAAAACAAGTAGAAATAGTCAAGTGTAAAACATATTTTACATATAAAAGAAAGTCAACGCAACTAGGACGAATATATATACTTATCTGTTCAATCATAAGCTCGCCTTGCAAACTTTTCTCCT